CCCCCCCCTCCCCGACTGTCCACTTTTCCCGATCTGCCACCATCAATCCTCTCCCTGAGTGGAAATATCCTGCCTGATTTGTTTTGTGGATGTGAACAAGATTATCGTGTTGAGGTCTCTCCATATACATTAAAAAAAAAAAAAACGACAACGGGCGCACCCCCTTGGCCTCAGCACACCCTCACACCCCTCCTTTTTCCTCCACTCAATCCCACATCCCCCCCAACACCCCCACCGCCATCTTTCCCACAGAGGGACTTCTTAACATTTCGCCTGCTTGCGGGTTTTTTTTGTTTTTTTTAACTGGAACCAAATGTGAGCTGCACTGCTAAGGTCACCACAGGGCAGGTGTGCGGCTCGGCGGACACGCACATTTGCTTCGGGGTAACCTCTGCGCACTAAAGCGCACATGTCAGACATTATTTGGATTTTTCTTTTTGAACAATGTGTTTTTTTTTTTGTTTTTTTTTTGTTTTTTTAATGTCTACTGAAAAGGGATCTCCAAAATAATGAAATCTCCTGGACCATAGAAGACATGAACGGGCCCTTTTCGGCGCTGGACAAACTGAAGAAAATGTAAGTTTGGAATCACTTCATCATGATTGTTTAACTTTGGTATTGAAATGTGAACAGGATAAGAATTTCAATTTTTTTTTTTTTTTTTTTTGGGCGCATAGATTTCTGCAAGGAAACCGAATCCGCTCCGTAACCAAGAAGTCCTTCTCTGGCCTTGATGCATTACAGAACCTGTGAGTCAACTTGGTATTGTTACCAAATCCTTGACTGAGAAAATGAAGTCAAGGTTGCTATCCTGTATTGATCAGCATTGTGCGGGTCCATACAAAAAAAAACAAAAAAAAAAACAGCTGTGTTCGTTTGAGGGTTTTATTTTATTTTTTATTTTTTGGCAGCCATCGCTCCGAGCAGCCAAAAGTTGATTAACACTGCACACTGCTTGCCGAGTTTTATGGCTCTGGACTCCAGATTTTATTTGAAGTTTAAGTTGCAGTCATGGCTATTCTTTTCCCCTCAATATATATATATATTTTTTTTTAGGGGGGGGGGTACACCTTTGGGTTTCTAACCAAAACATTTGTGCTTTTTGCTCGACAGAGACTTAAGCAACAACGCCATCATGTCCATCCAAGCAAACGCTTTCTCCCAGATGAAGAATCTACAAGAACTGTACGTTTCGTTTTTTTTTTTGTTTTCCCGTTTCCCCATTTAAGAAACATCAAATCATCGATCGCCAGCCGTTGGCATTTAATTCCACACATATGACATCAAATCATCGGTCGCCAGCCGTTGGCATTTAATTCCACACATATGAAATGTTTCTGGATTTTTCTCCCCCCCGCCCCTTCCGGCAGGCGCCTCAACACCTCCAGCTTGCTGTGCGACTGCCAGCTCAAGTGGCTTCCAGTCTGGGTGGCAGAGCAAACCTTCCTCCCCTGCGTGAATGCCAGCTGCGCCCACCCGCAGATGCTGAAGGGCAGGAGCGTGTTCGCCGTCGGCCCCGAGGAGTTCGTGTGCGGTGAGCGAGGCGTTTACACTGGAGAGCAACCTTGCCCACACGCCGTCACGCCTCAAAAACAGCCATTTATACAGCCCCTCCCCCGCCCCCTTTTTCCATTTATGAACTGACCCACATTGCTCAAGATTTTCCCCTGACTCCTGCGTGAGCAAATGAGTGCCGTGAAGGCAACCTGATGGAAATGTACTAACCTTTCCGCTTTGCCGATTACCGTTTTCTCCCAAAGAGAGCCTCATTTGCCTCCGGCTTCGTATAAAAAAACCCCGAGTGTTAATACAGCAAATGAAATCCCTCTCGTTCCTCCCCGCAGATGATTTCCCAAAGCCCCAGATCACCATTCAGCCGGAAACCCGGTCGGCTTTGAAAGGAGCTAACGTGACCTTCGTGTGCTCGGCGGCGAGCTCCAGCGACTCGCCGATGACGTTCGCTTGGAAGAAAGACAACGAGGTCCTCAACGACGCCGAGATCCACAACCAGGCCCACTTGAGAGTGCAGGGAGGTTCCGGTGGCGAGACAGAGGTGACGGAGTATACAACCACCCTGCAGCTGAGCGACGTGCAATTCTCCAGCGAGGGGAAATACCAGTGCGTCATCTCCAACCACTTTGGATCCTCGTACTCCACTAAGGCCAGACTCACTGTTAATAGTAAGTTACGAACCTCAGCCAGGCCGAAAACTACCGCTTGCTCAGAATCCAAAACGTGTCAATCCAAAGCACGCCAAGAATCTTGATTTCAAATCAACTTCTGTTTGCCAGTGCTGCCTTCCTTCACTAAAATGCCGATGGACCTGAGCATCCGCGCCGGAGCGACGGCCAGGCTCGAATGCGCGGCGGTGGGTCACCCGTCGCCTCAGATCGCCTGGCAGAAGGACGGGGGAACCGACTTCCCCGCCGCCCGCGAACGCCGGATGCACGTGATGCCGGAGGACGACGTGTTCTTCATCGTGGACGTCACAACGGAGGACATCGGGGTGTACAGCTGCACCGCTCAGAACATCGCCGGGGCCATTTCGGCTAATGCTACGCTAACGGTCTTAGGTGAGGACATGGGGCGGGGTGGGGGGGCATTGACATTTTGAAATCGTCCATCGTCATCACGTTTATTTTCCATCCCTTTTTTTGATAGAAACGCCTTCTTTCCTGCGGCCGCTCATGGATCGCACGGTAGCCAAGGGTGAAACCGCCGTCCTCCAATGCATAGCCGGCGGCAGCCCCGCGCCGAGATTAAACTGGACCAAGGACGACAGCCCCTTGGTGGTGACGGAGCGCCATTTCTTCGCCGCCGCCAATCAGCTCCTCATCATCGTCGACGCCGCCGAGGCCGACGTCGGGAAGTACACCTGCGAGATGTCCAACGCTCTGGGCACCGAAAGGGGGAACATCAGGCTGTCGGTCATACCGAACCCCAACTGTGACTCTGGAGTGCAAGGGGGCATCGGTGTCGGGATCATTGGCGGGGCGGGCTCGGAAGATGACGGCTGGACCACGGTGGGCATCGTCATCATCGCCGTGGTGTGCTGCGTAGTTGGCACCTCGCTCGTTTGGGTGGTGATCATCTACCACACCCGCCGGCGGAACGAGGACTGCAGTGTCACCAACACGGGTGAGTGCCGCGATCCCTTCCTCTCAACGCAATCGAATCGACGATCGCTAAAAACAAATACATTGACTCCCGGATCAGACACCTACCGGTGACCAAAATGTCTTGAATTGTGCCGCAGATGAGACCAACCTGCCAGCAGACATCCCAAGCTACCTCTCCTCTCAAGGCACCCTTGCGGACCGCCAGGACGGCTACATCCCGTCTGAGAGCGGGAGCAGCCACCAGTACATGGCGTCATCCATTAGCGGCTTCTATCTGCAGCCCAAAGACATGAATGGTACAGGACCTTTTTACTTGAAACCCCAAAGAGGCTCAAGTCTCCCCTCTGTCCCTGACGCGACTGTCTTCCGTCCAGGTCTTTGTCAGCTGGATACAGGAAGTGAAGCCGAGATGGAAGCGGCGTCCATTGACCCTCTTCTTTGCCATTACCAAGGTCCAATAAGCACACTGCTTCGCCGAGACCTGTACCCCACGGATCTGTCCGAGGTCCACACAGGTATGCGGGGTTTTTCAATTCCATAATCGGCGCCACGATTATGTATTCGGTTGGATTCGTCACTCTTTTTTTCTTCTTGGGCAGGGTGTTCCGTTGATTTAAGACCAGTTTGCGCCGAGTCCTACGGCGGAAGCCTGAACAGGTCCAAAAGACGGGACTACCTCCTCTCGGAGCCCTTTGACCTATGCTCTTCGACGATCCTGATGCAGCTCCCCAATGCCAGCCTCCATCTTGGGCCCTCTCATCAGCAGATTGGCCGCCGGCCATCCATGGAGGAGGCGGAAGCGGCCAACTATGGCCGACCTCATGAGTGCCCCCCTCCTTACAACAGCTTCATGGGTAAGTCTAAAGCTGAAAAACGAGACCTTACTCGAGGTGTCCTAACCCGGCATTCATTTTTCTCGTCTAGGAACGTTCGGGAAGTCCCCCTGGAGGCCTCAACAGGACTCGCACTCGGGATTTGGCCTACCCCCGGCAACGTGTCATGGGAATAGCCTCCACGAAAACCCTTACACCGCCGCCGACGCGGATTCGGCCGGCGAGGAGGACGACTGCAACAAGGACTCGGAATCGGAGCAGAGCCGCAGCGTTTACGAACAGCCGTTTGACAGCGACAGGACTGATGTCGGAACGCGCTGTTAGCTGAGTGACTAAAAGACCTTTTCCTCCTTTTTTTTTTCACTAAGAGATGACCATTTTTTTAATGTTTTTTTTGTTTTTTTTTTTTTTTAAATAATACTTCTTTGCTTCCGAGTCGATACCTTTGGAATGAAAGACTCCTTCCTGAAATGTGCAACAAGTGAATGTAAAAGAAGGACATTGCGACAAAAAAGTACAAGCCTATTTACGAAAGCTTGTGCTTTTTGTAAACAGCTTCCGTTGAATAAAATAGATGAATATAAACGTTTTATACAAATATTTTATATTTTGTAAATTGTATATAAACAGATTACAATATTTTTTTTTCTTGCTTAACATGTCATGTATGGGAATGTTGCAGCCCTGCTAGTTCAGTTATACCAATTTTTTTTTTTTTTTTTTTTGCTTTCAATGAAGCTATATTTTGCACATATGTAAACAAAATAAAAAAATATCTGAATGTGTGCTGGGACATTCACTGAATTGCATTTCTTGGCGTTGCTTGCTGGGTTTTGGGAGACATCGTTTGCCATTTTTCCTGCAGTAGGCTAAATGTTCGGAAATTCGGTTGAATACAAATGTTTTTTTAAAAAAAAAATCATAAGTTGAAGTGGTGATGATTTTTTTGGGTGAATTTCCAGCTTCTGTTCTTAATAACCACTAAAAAAAATATCGAATATCCCACTCCCAGTTACTACAATCTTTACTCATTAAACCAGGGGCGTCAAACTCATTTTTTTTCGCGAGCCACTTTGGAGTTACGTCTTCCTTCGGAGGGCCGTTACAAAAGTGAAACCGAATAAATGTATTATTACGTGTACACAACAAACGGATGGATGACTCGTCTTGAAATCAACCATTTGTTTGTTGTCGCTCAATTATTATTGGGATAAGTGGAACGAGGCTTACAAAATGTCAACGTTATTTATTACACGTGACCATTTAACATTTACGGTACTGGTTTTAGCAGTGGTCAGGATTATCATAAAGTGATGCGGCGGGCCGGATCTGGCCCCCGGGCCTTGACTTTGACACCTGTGCACTAAACTCGGATATTATACAAAAAACGAATTTTGTAGACCACAATTACAAATACAATTTTTTTTCATGAGTTTATTGAATGTAAACAACTTTTTTTGTGGGGAAAAATACTATTTTTAGTGCAGCTATTAACTTTTTGTCGAAATCCCATCGACGTTCTCATGCTCATCACGTCAAGCGAAGCTAAGGCTACTTTTCTGCAACCGTGCTCATTAATGATGCAATTTATAACGAGGCCACCATGCTTTGAATCCGGTCTGGGGGTTACTATGTCAAATGCAGTCCAATTTCGTTTGCTAGGTCAGTGTTTGGATTCGGCCGGTTTCGATGGAAATGTGGACAAGATGTTGATGCTGCATGTCTCATTTAGCGCGTCTCCTCATGGTTTTGTTGAAGTACACCTGGCCTTGCTGACTTGGCCGCCGTTACCCCAGTGTCAAAGAATGATGGGGGGGCGGGGGTTGTTGGAAGTCTTGCCAGGGCTTTGGGGGGAGGTGGCGATTAAGGCAAGATGGTGGGGAAAGCATACACCCCACAACACCTGGGAAACATCTGCTGGCGGAGGAACACTCGAGGAGCGATCCACTTTGGGTCAACAAACCGAACCGAGCTCTACTTGGTGCCAAGTTCCGGGTTCAAGACCAAATCAGACACAAGCGGAAGCCGAGTCAGGGACTCAACCGCTTCGTAAATGTGAAATAATACAATACAGTACACCCTGATTGATGTGGCGCTTTCACAACAGCTGCAGCTGGAACGAAGCGCTTTGCAAAACAGTTAAGGTAAAATAATAACATTTAAAATATCATAATAATAATAAATGCAAACAACATTAAAATAAATTAAAATAAATTAAAATCATAAAACTAAAAATAATAAATGCAAACCAAATTACAAATAAATAAAACATAATATAATAAAATAATAAACAACACAACATAAAATCAAATAAAAAATAAGGCGAATTTGGCCCATAATTCAGAGGCATTGCTGGGAAAATGTAGGATCTATTTTGGCCAATGAGACAGCTGGATAAAGTCATTTCCAGAAAAGGCGCCATAGCAAAGGCACATTTGAGATAAATGGGGAAATACGCCACAAGACCAAAAGGGCAGTTCATCGGGAATATCACAGTTAATAAAAAGAAACAAACAACTCCGATTCGGGGCGCTGTCCAAAATGAGTTATGGCGCCATTAAAAAGTCATTTGTGTGGACATGGTCTTGACTGCCGCGCTAACCTAAGCCCCACAATTATGTCATTAAAATTGATTTTCGGCATTTATGTACTGGCTACTTCTGGTGAATCCACACGACAATGCACGACTGCCTTTACGTTGCGTTGTTTGGACGCGGCAAACCGTGCATGGTACAATTAGGAGGGCGGCTGTTTCCCCCCTGCAAACACTCTCCGTAATGGTTGATTTACGTGTTTAGGAAACTGCTGGAAAAGAAAAAAAAAAATGGAGGGGCGCAAGCTAGCCGATGACGTTCTTTCTCCGTGCACCCAAAGAAGGCGGTGGGAGGTTTGCAGAATAGTTTCCCCTCTTTGATTTTTGCGCCTCGGAGAAACGAGACAGGAAGTTGACCAATGACTGGCAGATGACTGATGGGAGTCCCGGTCACAGATCAGCAACCAATCTGCATGTTTAACAGCGTCCAGTCGGTTCCCTCGGGCGAGCTTTCCTCTTGTGCATCGGCCAGGACACGAATGCCGCACGCTCTCACGGCCAGACGCTCAAGTTTTGCAGCTAATTTGTCTTTATGATTGCCAGATGTGGTGACACGCAGACAGATGTTTATGATATCAAATAGCTACAGGCGGCTTGCAGAAATGATTAGTTCTCAGTTCTGACGCTCAGGAAATCTGCCGGGGGGGCCCGTGTGTCTGACTTTTACGATCTCTGAGCTCTTTACAACATTTGCGAAAGCCTTCTCGGCCCCGAAGTACAGATTTTGAAAAACGAGGTGGCCCCCGAGCTGTGTCGGAATGCGGGGTCGTTGGTGCTCACTTAAGAGTCAGAGCCGATGACAGATAAATCGGCCAAGATTTGCGTTGTGGCCGCTGACAGTTTGGGTTTTTTGCCTCGTAGGAGACAAAGCATTTCAACTATTCGGAGGTTATCGACGACCACGTGGGAATAACCGAAATAGCTTCACGCTTGGTCCAAACACCAGCTGACTTTCGATTGAGCTTGGAAGTTCGAAAGTCCCACGGTCATATAATACGTTCACACAAGTTGTCATCTCCGAGGACTCCGAGCAACTGCCTCCAGAAAAACCCCATTGGACCATCTCTTTTTTTTTTCAATCCCCCAGTCCAGCCGCCCGCTCTTTGTATGATTAAAAGCGCAGCGGAGGACTTTGCGTCTTGCAGATGTTGTCATAAATCACCAGTTGGCCCCGCCTCCGCGACTGGCTGCCTGACAAATGCTCTACGATAATTCCAGCCCCACCACCCCATTCTTCCAGTAAAGAGGGGGAAAAAAAATGGCTGACTGTTTGAGAACTATTGTAAAGTCTCAGTCATGTCAGCACAGGTGGGAAACTAAGAAACCATAAAATTAGAACGAGAGGGGGGTGGAGGGGACAACTTTCTCTTTTTCCAATAATGTCCGAAGCTCGCTGCTGAAACGGTCGTGGGGGGGGGGAGTTGGGGAGGGGGCGCGCTCCACTGTGACTAATTCCACACAAAATCCGAGGGGTTAAATCACTTGGGCTGCCTGTGTGTCTGGATGGTGGTAACCAAACATAATGGCTGAGAATGAGTCCAGGCTGTGAATCATAAGAACTCTCAAGGGCACTGGGGGGGGGGGGGGGGGG